TGTCATGGAGATATATATATCAAAGAAAAATGTCTCTGATAAAGTATATGTAACCAGACCGCGTATATCTTATTTAAATACACATTTATAACATCGGGTCTATAAAAACAATTTTTATATAATTATTCAAAAAGTAAAATATTCGTGCGAGCGAGATTTAAGATATAAAACGGCGGGGTCGCGGGACGAAAGCACGCTCATTAGCGGGCGCGCGGGACGAACTTTAATAGATAAAATTTCGTCGCGCGCCCCGCTTATAAGCGTGTTTTCGTCCCGCGACTCCGCAAATCGAAAATTCTATAATTAATAAGTTAAAATGGGGTTGGGCGGAATGAAAACTAATTAGCGGGGACGCTAATAAGTGTGTTTTCGCTCCGCGACCCCTCCGTTTTATTTCTTAAATCTCACTCCGCGCCCCCGCGGGGCGAAGTTTATTTTATTTAACATCACCCCGCACCCGCTAGTTAGCGTGTTTTCGCTCCGCGCCCCATCCATTTTAACTTTAAACTTTTAAATTTCAACTTTTCGATTTGCGGGGTTTGGGCGGCGAAAACACGAATGGCACAAATCAGCTCTCATAATAAAGCATACACACTTGTAAACTTCCGTTGTATTTAAGTGTCCCAAAATTATCACTGTTTATGCGTAGTATAGTCGGATCGATTTTCAGATACTTGTGTTAAGGCAATATTGATAACACAGTGTAACAGTGTTTATGCATAAAATCTTTAAACCCTACATTTTCAAACTTCATGTACAAATACCGGTACAATGTACATAGTTAGATAAGCAGTTAAAATTTTAATGCAAAGAAATTGTTTTAACGCTAATCTGAAAGTATATAAGCTAAATGCATAGAACAAAATTAATTCAAACACAATTTCATTTGTTACATTTTTTAAAAATTAAATTTAGATCTATATTATGCAGGTTGGTGTATTCGTTATCTGTTCAAAAGTTAAGATATAAATAAATACTGAAATTAATCTAAAATGTGAGATGCATTTCCTTTTAATATATCGAAACCGAAAGTTTTATTTTACATGGAAAATGGTGTTGTTAAATGTATTCTTACGAATATTTTTTGATTAACCACAAACACATAATAACAGTTATAAAACAAACCTTTTTACATCATTTTGTTTCACATATTGTAGCCTTAAGAAACACTAAACCGAAAGTAGGTTATATATTATAGCAATAAATTGCATAATTTAATTATTTTAAACCGATACTGTTATATAACATGTATATTGCATTTCATAAAATAAATACATACCAATATAGTTAATACCTTAAGAAACAAATATTAAAGCTGTGCAAACTAAAACATTTGTTTGTAAAGCAAATGATGTCATAATGTATTATACGAATCGTTTTGCAAAATATCGTTATCGACAGCGTATTTCAAATCGACAAAGGTTAGTTCATCCTCGTTTTACCAATTACATTAACTGGCATGAAAAAGTTAATATGTTTAAATCTTAACTATAATGCTTATAACAATTGTCTTATTTCATTGTCATTATTTTATTGTCTGATGTCAATGCAACTGCTCCTTTTAATCAAAACTATGCGATAAAATCCTCTTGCTGTGCTGATATACATATATATACTCCCCTAAATATCACAGTCACTCACACCAACATATCTTAGCAAATGACATAAAACAAATCATTAAAAATTACAAAAATGTATTAGATCTAAAGGAACAAGAAATCATGCATTAAGACAGAAATGTATGGAAAGCCATGACTGTCTGATATTGTTCTTTTTCAATTTATTTAACCATTTGGATAATATATAAGTTCACTTCGACTATATATGACTTGAAAACACCTTCTTATTTAACCGGAATCCATTATATTAATCCACTGTTACAATATATGAAACCATACCGTCAGTGTATGAAACCGAGTTAGCAATATATAAGTTGATTGTCTCAATATATGATTCCAATTCTTCAATATTTTGTACCAAAGTAGCCATGTATGGAACCAGGTGTCCTTATATGAAACCGAATTATCAATACGAGTCTCAATAAAATGGACAGAAAATCATCAAAAAAAAAAAATCAGATTTTTAATTATTAGAATCAATTGCAACGTAATCCATTTTTCAAAAATAATATAAACCCCTTCTTCTGCTTGTGACAAAGTCCTGATAATGCAGTACCATTCATACAAGTATGTCACCTCCTGCGCATCAGCTAATTTTTCTACTACCGTTCACTTAATTACCAGTGTTTTCTTAGAAATAGACTAGAATTTAAAATGCTAGCTTTAATGTTCTTAAGTCTGAAAGTTTGTTAAGAATATGAACTTTTCTATTTCAAAAAAGTGCTACAAAAATGTACAAGAAGTCAAAATTTAACATGTAGATGGGAGTGGACACAAACACCCTTCTTAAAAGGGAAGTTTAGTCGATTCAAACAGAAGCTTCCCTCACCGAAACATTCTGTTCCTGGCCTGCTTCAGAATAATCTTCTTTGGAAACATTAGTTCTTAATTTGTGAAAATAAAAACATCAGTTTCGATTTCAATTACTGGAAAATTACAAACAATTCTATAAGCTGAAAAATAAAATCTATATTAATAGATTGTCTTTCATCAGTTTCTTTCGGCTGACTGTTGCCTGAGTGACGTTTTCTTGATTGTTGAAACTTGGAACACTCTGTCCTGACATGCAAGAAACCTGCACGTGCAAAGCTTTGGACTCTCCGAAAGGAAAGGGAATAAAAGTCTCGAAATGAGTACAAGTAGTACTAGTAGTTGCAAAAATAGCTGCCAAAGAAGCTCGACTCGTGGGTACGTTTCTATTTGACAATGCTCTAGCCTCAGCTCTAAAAAAATTAAGATCATCTTCACTATTATTGTCGGTTCTTCGGACCCATATTCTGCAACAGTTCACCACTTAAAATTAGTACGAGATTTGTCTGCTAACCTGATATGTTTTTTTTTCTCTTATGTACTTTTAGCTCTGAAGCGAACTAAATTGTTTTCCTGATTTCACTTAAGACTGCACACGCTCTATATCTCTCAAAACTTCACAAATGAAATCGAACTGTCGTTTATTTCATTGGCATTTAAAATCAACAGGGGAGCGTTAACTTGCCCATTCTTGAAACTTTCAAATGTTTTTTCTCTAAATAGCAAGAATTTCTTCTCTCATTTCTTTTTTAAAAGTAGAAAGTTTTTCTTTCCAAAATATATTTGAAGTGAATAAAGTCCTTTTCATAATTTGAAGAACACCTCATGTACTCACATTGAAGAAAAATGTTTCACACAATGCTCGAATGGCGATTCCACTCGCCTTTCAATTATGTATTCATACCAAGGTCAGTCAGCACGAAATGATAGTGCTAAACTATTTTATACCTCATTTAACCCGACAACTAATAACTCTTAAACTACAATAAATACATTTATTACACTCCAGGACCGTGGTTTATAAGGTGATAAACTATACTTTTTTAGAAAGATATATTCCAGCGTACCCAATCAATACTTTGTTAAAGACCCTTGTCAAAACATTTACAACTTTGTGACTTCATGACTATTTTGATATTTATTACATGTATTTCTTTCACACCAATATACTGTGTTATTAAAAAGTTTAAGTCTCCCCCTTTTCAAAATTACATACTTGTGACTGAAACAAAAAACGTTTAAATATACTTCTCGTCTATAATGTAGAAATAGGATATATACAAGACTAAAATTATATGAAAATAGAACTTAATTTAATAATATTGTATTGCATATATAAATATACATAGGTTTTACATAAACACACATGTATTTATAAAACAATTAGAAGGGCTGAGCCAAAATATTTTGCATTATTATCGTAGGCAAACAACGATAAAAAGACATCTTTATTATATAAGATATTAAAATTACAATGCATTGATGACTTGATGGAACTTTTCTATAAAGATTAAAGTTCCAGTTACTAAAGTTCAGTAAAACATATAAGTCAAGAAAACGATATTAATTCAAAAGTGTAGGAAATGTTACTTTTTATATTTTTACATGAAACATTTTCCCAAGACAGTAATGTTTTTCATTAATACTAGCATTATTTATAATGCAATCCAATCTATATTAAAAAAAATATGTACCATAAAATGTTTTGTTTTGTTTTAAGGCGAATCAGTGAATCATAGTACTTACATGAAATTTTATGTATACGTTCATTGTATGTTTTCAATACAATCAACTTTTCTCGAATATTATTAGCCAAAAAGGCAATGAATATAAAATAATTCGTTTAACCAGAATAATATAGACTAAGTCATAATTGAAACTGAACATAATTCATAATCAACGAAAGCCTATATTAAGTATTTTTATGTCGTTTATGATGAATCTTTCGATGTTTCAGAATGAATGCAATCCTCTTGTTTTCTCGACGTTTTACAGTAAATCATTTACTATATTTACAACAAAGTACTCTAGTTGTAATTGTTTGTTTAAATCTAGTCGACTAATATACAAGAGCAATAAAATCTACAAAAGACATTAAGTTTCATTTCTTGAAAAAGGAATATGTCATCCACGGCCTGTCTTGAGAATAAAACTTTTTTATCTATAATAATCTCACTTAATTTTGCACTAACAAGTCTGAAATAAGTCCTTTCGAAACATTGTTCTGGAACAAGCAAATTCTTGCCGTACCTTTCTTTGGACGACTTTTAATAAAACATGTGTTCAACTTTTGTTACTTATAGTCGGTGACATTGTTGTGACAATAACTTTGAAAGCAGGGGCATGTATAGCATATGATTTTCAGTAAAAAATCAACCTTTTAGTACAGCTGTAAAATCATAGGCAATGACTGGTCTCCAAAAAAGTTGTTCATACTTTTTGCGAACCTATTCATAGAATATGATTTAATACAGTGTATCTTATTTTAGCGTTAAAGTAAATTTGAGTACCTCTTTCACTACACAGTAGATAACAGAAAATTGTTCACATTCTGCGCAAATATTTTATGTCCAAGTAAAAAAAAATCTAACTCGTTAAGATATATGTAGAACGGTATCCCTCATTGAACTTTTCAAAACATAGATAACATTCAATATCATTAAACATTCATTAACGTTGTCAACAGTCAAGTATTTAATGTATTTTAGTATATCGTTTTATCGATGCAGGCAGTCCTGTATGGAAAATTACTTTGACCTTCTCTCCGGGAGAATGCATCCCTACAGCAGGATATAGATTGAAAAGGGGACCGGTGCTAAGTTTCTTCTCTCCAGTCTGAAGACAAAAGATGAAATATAAATGTAACGCTTTTATCCGAATTAGAATTGTGGATTATTTCTTCTTTATTTTAATTTGGTACCGTGTTTGTTTAAGGTTTGTTTATTTATGCAGTCTTTACCTAATACATTCATCGTTCGTTTAAAAAATGTTTACATCATAAAATACATTACTAAACATATGAAGTTGTTTTGGTTGAATATCTTGTATTTTATTACTTCCAAAGCGGCTAACTTTAACGTGAATCGCGATAATGCTAATTTTGATTTCAGAACAATCGAAGGTGAAATTGCATACCGTCAATCATGCAACTCAACATAATTATTTTAATGAGATTTTAGACGTAACTTTATATGATAAAGTTTATACTTAAACAAACACATAATTTTAAAAGCATTTGTCCCTACCTTTGCGCCATTCCTTGTAAAAATGGCATTGACAACCGTCTCAACATTTTTACCACGCCTGTAAATATAGTTAATTCAACCATTTCTCATATCGTAATACAGTTAAATAAAATATTTGGATAATTTTGAGAATCATGTCTTTTTTCAATAATTTCTTCTTTTGAAATATGATTAAAAATTCATCCAATTGACTACAAAATGATAGGTTCTATTGACCCCAACAACAACAACAGAAAAACAAACAACAACAATACCCAATCCCAAAAAAATACCCCCCCCCCCAAAAAAAAAAAATAAAAATAAAAATAAAAATAAAAAAAATAAGAAAATAAAAAATAAAAATTAAAAAATCCCACAAGGGTAATTGCTATTCATTACGAAAATATATGCTGCCAAACTGGAAAAAATTAAACTGAAATTAAACTGTGAGCTTTACGGAAGCATGGAGAGGACATAGTCGATTTATTTTAATAATCTGTGGGAACAACGTATTTGTCGAAGTATTTTTTATTAATCTGTGGGAACAACATGTTTTGTGAGAAAAATCTTTTTTTATTCTGTGGGAACAACATATTTTGTGAGAAAAATCTTTTTTTATTCTGTGGGAACAACATATTTTGTGAGAAAAATCTTTTTTTAATCTGTGGGAACAACTTATTTTGTGAGAATTTTTTTTTTATTCTGTGGGAACAAACTATTTTCTGCTATATTTTTTTTAAATATCTTGTTCCCTCAAGATAATAAGTTGTGCGAACAAATTAATTATGTTGTTCCCACAGAATAAAAAAAGATTTTTCTCACAAAATATGTTGTTCCCACAGAATAAAAAAAGATTTTTCTCACAAAACATGTTGTTCCCACAGATTAATAAAAAATACTTCGACAAATAAGTTGTTCCCACAGATTATTAAAATAAATCGACTATGTCCTCTCCATGCTTCCGTACAATTGTGTGCAAATGGCGACTTTTTAAAAAGGGACTTAACTTTGCAGTCACTCTTTGTGGCAATCGCTATTTTGATTGGTTGAATTATGTTGTGGAAACAACATAATTAATTTGTTTGCACAACTTATTATCTTGAGGGAACAAGATATTGAAAAAATATCGCAGAAAATAGTTTGTTCCCACAGAGTAAAAAAAAAGATTTTCCTCACAAAATAAGTTGTTCCCACAGAATAAATTTTTTTTTACTCAAATTAAGTTGTTCCCACAGAATAAAAAAAGATTTTTCTCACAAAATATGTTGTTCCCACAGAATAAAAAAAAGATTTTTCTCACAAAATATGTTGTTCCCACAGAATAAAAAAAGATTTTTCTCACAAAACATGTTGTTCCCACAGATTAATAAAAAATATTTCGACAAATAAGTTGTTCCCACAGATTATTAAAATAAATCGACTATGTCCTCTCCATGCTTCCGTAGAGCTTTTATTCACTGTTGCATTTTCGATATGCGAGTATTTAAATGATACTAGAAAAATGTTTCTTTATCACATAAATCATGAAGTAAAATGTAATTTATAGAGGATATTGAATTAATGTAAAACTATGTTTCATTCTAGATTTATTGAACTAATTAAATAAAGTAATTTTATGCCAGCCTCCGACGAGTGAATAATATATTTATTCAATGAGTTTAATAAATCAAGTATTATATATTTTTCAATTTGTCACATTACGCAAAACAAAAGGCTTGCAGTGAAAACATGCATTTTTATCGAAGTGCCTTAAGTGTAACGCAAAATTTAGCGCACTTTTTACATTAGTTTCAACTCGTTCAATAATACACTAGGTATTTAACATACATTTATTCAATATCCTGTATATCCAAACTATAAAATTGTAATATTTACCGGAAAAGCACCAGATATATACAGCAACCAATCTTGTCACCATCGCGACATTTTGGTCCAAACTGAATTCCTCTTCCATATTCGTGGTATAGACTGAAAGAGTAAACTTCACTAACTATGCAAAAGTGATGGTCATTGTTACGTTTTAAATATAACTTTTATAAGCATAAATGTTGTCTATAATCGGCTTTGCAGAATTGAGATGGCAATAATGACCCATGACAATGTTTTCAGACTTATTGAACAGATGCAGAAACTGTTCAAAAACAACTATGCACGAATTTAAACGAATATATGAAAGTGTAAATGGTTTAGATGACTTCAACTGTAACGACAAATATAGGAAACCGTAGCGACTGCCAATCATCATATTATATTTACTTAACAATATAAATATTTAAAATTGTTTCAAACATTAACACATTAACGAGTTTGAATATGGAATAACAATTAGTTATAGCTTTTGACTATAGACACTGGCTATAATATATTTGTGTCTGATTATATCTAATAGTATAGAAAAATGATAAAAACACATTAATAGTTTGATAAGTTAAAATAAATTTGTTCTTGAGATGTGTGCCAATACAATGTTATAATATTTCTCAAAGACATATCTAGCTAATATTTCCCTTTGCCGTTTTCAATGTGTTTTATTTATACTAATACATATAATGGATTGTTATTGATACGTTATTGCATCCGTGAGTATTATTGTATGCTATATCTTTGAATGCATTTTGGTCAATAAGAATAGCTTTACTTGGTAAACGAGTATTATCGTGCCTAACTGCAGCAAAAGAAACATTCCTTTATAAAATCTATCAATATATCTTAACATCACTAAATTTTGAAAACATCTGTATGTCCTACCAGCCATCGTGCGCATGATATCCAATGGAGTAATGTCCCCATCCTGGCTGTATATTAGCCGGGTAACTGTTTGGTACCAAACCAATAGCTAAAATTAAAGACATAAATACTAAAATATTGTGTTGTCAACCTTTTTAAAAGAAAGCAAATCTTACATACAATTACTGCTATGTTTGAACAATCATTTACTTTATTCCTAGCTGGATGTAATTCCTTATAAATTCAAGATTAATTTCGAATATCAGAAAGCGTTTTTCAATCATTTTAAACTGCAATTGAATTAAGCATAATAATACGCCGTCCATAATAGGCTGAAATATTACCGGAGTGTTACAGGGGAGGGAAAGAGGCAACCGTTTTCTGCTAACATTGATAAGCAAATTTCAGTCTACAGAAAAAATACCATAAAACTATATCAAAGGATGATTTTAGTCCACTCACACCAAGTTGAAACAAATACAAGGTGAATACATGAATGAATGAATGAATGACTGCTGCAAAGTAGGGAGCATGGCCGCCGCAAAAAAAAATGCTTAAAGTAGAGTTATTTAAACTGATTTACAAAGTTAGACCATGTTCACTTAAAATACCATTCATAGTGAACTGATCAGGAAATAAATTCTTCAATAAAGCTATCAGTCTGCCTTGTAAATCTTACAAATATATATGTAACGCTCACGTTAAATAGACAGGAATCAGACAAAAAAAAAGATTTTTGAAAACGGCCGACCATACTGATTTAATATGAAGGAAAACTCATGATGATGCAAGTTGTTTATGCAAGTTGTCATACTGTTTTTTCTTTTTAAGAAGACGCCGAGTAAGTACTATTATATAACTTTATTAATTGTTATTCTAAATGACAATTCTTCCATAGTTAATTGAATATCGTGATGATATCGTCCATATAAGCTGTTTCTTCGTCATTTTGTTTAGAAACTTGATAATATGAGTGTATCTGCTTATTACTGTATGTGTTTGATTTGCGTAAATGTTATGTATGTAAACATTGATGAGACGCAGCAAAATGTGTAAATTTAATTTCAACACATCAATAAAAAGATGATAATTTTAAAATTAAAAAAAAATATTGACATCGTTGAAAATTGAATTGTAATATTTGAGTTACGCCGCAACCTTTTCATTGAAATATTAATACCACTGAATGTGAAATTATGTAATATCATAAAAACAAAGTACAATGTAGTATTTTTACTTCCAATGGCAAACAAAATATAATTGTACTAATTGGCGAAATCAAAAGATTTTTAAGGTAGTTTGCCATTAAGTATTGTTTTACTTTTATATGGGTTATAAAACACGCATTTTAATCAAAATAGTTACAGAGGTAGTCATTAAGAATTTAGTCACATGACATGGGTGGAGGCGGTTCGTATTGTTGATAGGGATATTACTGAGAGAGTGGTGTGAAGCTACCCGCCATCCTTAATGATTATTGAAACAAAAAATAAAATAAGATATTGCCTTTATTTTATTTTCTTGGTCAAAATTCTGTTACAGTTTACAAACAGAAATCAGTTACACGTTTTTTTTGGAAAAAAAAAACAACAACATAACAAACCCAGTTATATTATAATATTGATTTCTAGCGATCGAGTGCTAATCAAAAGGACACAAAAATACTCATAGCCGCATTTACAACCCATATCCGTGCAATAAACAGTGTTTCATACCAATTGTCCCACGTTGGCCCAAACTCAATATCTTTATCTCAAAGTAACTGCGAGGAAGCATTCTATTCTTGTCGACAAATAGCCCTACGTCTCCGTCTTTATTCTCTTCATAACTGCAATCCATATTGCATACATGTAACAGCACCGAATCGAAATATGAAATGGAAACAAAAAGATAAAGCATATAGCTGTATCAAGAAATACAAAGATAAACCGATAGTATTTGATTATATCAAAAGTATACTTCCTTATTGAAGTTTTTTTTAAAACATACATATATATCAAGCACGTCATACACAACACAAAAGGGTAATAACTATTTGATGTGCATATCAATATCATAACAAATATAACTTCCTCTTAAAGATCGAAGAAAGTCCTGATAAATCAATGATATTCCTATAAGTAAATAAAAAGATGCATGTTTTGCTCCTCACGACAAAATATTGCATTTTGGTGTGATTATCTTATTAATCTTAAATATTGTTTTATTCTATATAAATTATAGAAATAAATGTTTGAAAACAACTACATAATTATATAACTGAATTGTACTTAAAACTTACCTGAGGTGTTTTCCATCCACTTTTATATTTGTACATTTCAACTGTCTGTCTAGCAACGGTTGTGAATCAGCCTGCAAAGCATCATGCGTTATATCATTTTTTGAAGTTGTGGTTTAATCTTATGCGAAGTGAATGACATGTGAAAAAACATCCATTTTATTTTTCGTATAATTTATTTCAACCTATAATATTAGACTCATATAGCTTTAAAATGCCTTTCTCTGATTGATTTAGACGTAATTGTTTGTAAAAGCAACAGGTCAATTCATTCACTCTTTTATTAAAATTAATTTCTCCCGAAAAATAGATTTGATAGGAACAAACGACTTGATTTTCGCGCCTGTTTTGTTGTATCATTCTTACGCGACTTTAATCGATCTTGTTTTTTATGTTTATTCCGAAATAATAGTACGTTTTAGCTCTTTTTTAATTTTTTTTTTAAGTTCTTTAAAAAGAGTCCAATTATGGAAATAATAAAGCAACCGCAAAAATGTCGGTTTTGATCATATTCAGTGACAGACATAAGATAATCACGCAAAACCTATTTAAAGATTTGCGACCCCCCCCTAAAAAAACGGAAAAAAAAACAAACAAAAAAAACAAACAAAAAAACAACAAAAAACGCCAAAAACACACACACAAACAACAACAACAACAACAACAACAAAATAAAACCAAACAAATGCCACCCCCCCACCATATTTCTATTGGTATAGTGCGATTTTACTCTTAAACTAGACTATCTTTCTATCAATATTATTTTTGTCAGTACAAATAAAATTTATTCAATGTCCCAAATTTTCATAGCTATTACAGTATCATTAAAAAATGGATCTCTTTTGCAATTGAATGGCTACTTAGTCTTTACTTGAAAAGCATCAAATCTATCAGTCGAACACGATAACGTTGACATTAATCGGTCGTACCATTATGATATATTGGGTTGTGCAAGTTATTCAGTTACTACATTTTTCATTTTTATTGCAATATAGAAGAATAAAAGTGGGCATGTACACGTAAATCTGAGTAGCGTTGTGGTAAGAGAGTTCATATTATGAAGAGTTCATGTTAAGAAAATCACTTATTTTTCGAGTTAAAATCTGCAATTGTGCAATACTTTTTGTGTCTGTCAGAAAATATTTTCATATTTTCTTATATAAACCTGTGATTCATTTAATATTTTGTAAAATTTAAAGTTAAACTTATAAAGATTTAGAAAAAATTGAATATATTTGATATTAACAGAAGACATTTTATAGATTGAATAGTATTGTAAATATAATTATATTTAAAACGCTTAATTTAAATTGCTACATTTTTAGACAATTTCGTCTCATTTGTATATTTATATATTTAGATTTCTCCCATTGCTCATTAATCACTCTAATCACGACTGTATGTGTTGTCTCTTACTTAACCTGTTAAAAGCGAATGTGTGTAAAACTAAATGTTCTCAAATAGTATTGTGTGAAAGAAATTCACGAGGAACTAAAAAAAAAAATCTGAAAAGAAAATATGCCTTTCCCAGGAATCGAACCAGGGTCTCTATACTGACGAAGCCAACACTCAACTACTACGCTTTTACGCTGAATGCATAAAAATATGAGTAATTGTTTAGGTGATTAAAAATGTAGGCGATAAAAGAATGCTTTTATATAAGAATTATCGACACCCCTTTTTGTCAATATTAATGTAAACATATAATGAAAGGAATAGCGAATTCGAGCTGTATGTCAGTTTACACACAATATCGATATTGTTATAGCAGTGTTACAGTAAAAATACCACCCCGCGAATTTTTTTTATGATAAACAGAAGTATCATATCACTATGAACTCACCTTACATTTTTCCGTATAACCCGAAGCTTGCAAAGTTTTTGAAATTTGCTGCTGTTTATTCTCCTCTTGGTCTGAATTTAAAGAAAATTGAACAATAACTATGTCTGCGAAATAGATTCATTAAAAATTTCAATCCTTATTTAAAGAGGATCAACTTTGTGTATGTAAGTAATTAAATAGAAGAGAAAACATTTTTCTTTGCAGCTTCAACAACGTAGATCGTAATGTTACAAATTATATTCACTCAAGTTCATTATGTTATTAAATGTATAAATGTATGGTTGAAATAAAAATTAAAGATATAGATATAAAATTTAGCGCCCTCAAAGTTTATGCTTGAAAATATAATCTGCGTTTAATCATAAATGATAGGCATTTGTGGCTTGTAATTCACCAAGGAATGAAACATAAATATAGGCAAGCTGGTAACGAAAAACTTAAATGAACAAGAAATTTTGTCTATGACCTTTTTATAATTTTGACAATCTATAGACCTGGGTCTTGCAATCATGTTGATAATCTTCATCATGCTGATAACTATTTGTGAATTTTAAAAAAAAGAGAATCAATAAAAGTATGACAAATTGATGATTCTATCACGATTTCGGACGGGCGGAAATACGGGTGAACAGGTAATAAAATGCTTTGCCTACAACTATACCTAACTTATTATTCAGTTCGCCACTTTAGCCCTGTATCAGCTGCAAAACGTTTATTTTGAGTATTTATAACACAGGTATGATCTTATAAGTAAGTTACCTTTCAATTGTTCCTCCTTGTCTTTCTGAAGTATTCCCAGTTGACCAGCGCTGGCTAATGTTCGAGTTAGATTGTTATCTGTTTTGAACTCGTAAGCCTGAATTTTGCTCTTGCTTTTTATGTCATCAAGTTGTTTCCTCAGTTCATCAAGCCTTGGTTTATGTGAGACTGAACAGACAAAGTGCTTACATGGACTCTCGACAGTCGACTCAAATAAATCAGATATGACATTAAGATCATTTATCAGACTCTCAGTTTCGTCTTGTAATTGTCTCATTTTTAAGTTATCTTTAGCCTTAATGCATTCGCCTTCCTTTAGCATACATTCTCTTAAGTTGTTTATTTGTGTAATTATCTCTTCCCAAAATTGGTAAACGTCCTGTTTGAACTTTTCACTGATATCATCAACTTGAACTATATTGTTCTTAATTGACGACAATACGTGATTAGCTTCAATCTTACATATTTCCGGTCCTTTGGTCAAAGACTCGTACTCTGGTGTGCCTTTAATGTTTAGAATATAGTCTACCTTACACGACCTATGACCTATGATCATACAATCTCCGCAACCAACTTGCTCGTGCTGCACGCAGTAAAACTTTACGGGTTCATCTGAATGTTGCTCACAATTTTCGAATTCATTCGCACTTTCTCTCTGCGTTATTGTCTCATTACAGTCAATTAAACTGTGTTCTCGATTTAGTTTCCATTTTTTGTGTGTATCAAAACAATTGGAACACATATACTCTTCACAACTGGTACAAAACCCCTCGGCTTGTGTTCTTATTTCATTTTCTTCGCAAGGTTTGCAAGAAACATTATTCTTTTCCCTCTTTCCTGGAACTTCCATGTCTTGGGCAAATCAATTTCATGAATTATATAAAATCAATTATGCTCTCCCAAGTTATACTGGTAAAATATGCAAACAAATAACCAGATTTTATCCATTAAAAGTAAATTATTATGCTCCAATACACTTAATAATACAATATATTTAAATTTGGCGACAATTATCCTTTACATGTTGCTTAATATAGGAAGGAACTGAAATTTACTATTTTGCATATTAGCCGATGCATAGGTAAAACGCAGTATTTTAGGAACCATATATGTCATCGATATTGCTTCGGTAAGTTTTTCTTTTTGTTTCGAAATAAAAAGAATATTAACATTTTGTACCGACTGACAGACAAATTTACTTTTATTTTTTTCCTTCATCTGAAATTCTAGGACTAACACTCTTGCCCGTTCACTTTGGCCGATCCGCCATTCAATGCAAATTGTATCACACTTTTCCGTATTTTACTAAACTCAGCGAAAAGATTTGGAAGCGGGAGCCTCCATCATACAAGAATGTGGGAAACTCTCCGAATCTGTGTTTTTTTAGTCATGTCAGTTCTTTTAAATGGCAATTTTTATATTATTATAACTTGGACCATATTTTATAGGCTTTATTTTTGTTTTGGTTTTGAATTGACCTGTTTAAACATTTAAAGATATCCAGTGAGATAGCTTATGTAAAGGACGAAGTCTAAAAAAATGATAAACACTCAGACACTGTTTACTTAATAAGTACATATATGATTTTACAATCAATACACCTGTTTATAATGGTTTTATAGAAGGTAAACGTGATTAAATGAAAGTAAAAATGAACGGCGTCTTAAAATAATTACTTATTTTTGATTACGCAATTTTCATGTATTTTTTTACATTCATTACTTTCGATAGATATTCACTTTGCCATTTTTCTATTTAGAAAAGTATAAGTGAAATAAACATGAAACATAAACGTGTTTTGGTAGTTTTTAAAGATCCTGTATATTGCAATTAGGGCTGTAACCATGTGTGTACGAGGGTTGTTCGGGAAGTTCTGAGTATTTTGTCATATCTTCTATATTTTTTGTTTCTAAGACGTAATATTTTGCTCATACTAAGATTAGCATATCACGGAACTATTCCTAAAAATTGAATAGAACCAGACAACAATAGCCGGAAATAGCAGTAACCATAGCAACACTTTAACGCCGCACCGGAGCAGTCCGACTCTAAAGAAAGGTATAACGCGCTACACTAATAATATTTCGTAATTTTGATAACGTAAACAATGCGCGAAAACGCTGGTCAGCAGCAAACGTCATGACGTCATTTCCTGAAAATATCATAACATTATTTAAATTCTCAACGGATCAACATTGTTTTAAAGTTGTTGCCCAGAGCCACTGAGTAAACAACATGACGTCGATAGGTGACGTTGAATTGCGAAGCATCGTGAAATTTTGTGTTGCGCTGGAAAAGTCTTCCACCGAAACAATGAAAATGATCAATTCTACAGGACAATACAAGAAATGCAGTCCGGCTACAGTGTATAGATGGCATGCCCGTTTAAAAGAAGGAAGAAACTCGATCGAAGACGAACCTAGATGCGGTCGGCAGTCTGTTGTTGCATGTTCAATTAAGGAGCTCGATTCAAAGCTGCGTCGAAAACGCTTTGACTCAGCTGACGATCTTGTTAAGCATACGCAAGCTATAGTCTCGTCCTTTACCGATAGCTGGTACGTGGAAACATACAATAAGTGGATCAGCCGACACAGGAAATGCATCGAAATTGCAGGTGACTACGTTGAAAAGGTACGACGATCGATGGACTTTAACGTCGCATAACGATGCAAATGACGTCGGCGTGCTCCGGGTGTTTGTTATATGGTTATTTACTATTTTTATTTTGTTTTAGTTTCTGTGTGTATGATGATGATATTTTCAGATACTGTACAGTATATATTGAAATAAATGCGTATATATTTATAATTACGCTAACCCGACTACAACGTGTGCTATAAAACAATTCTCAGAACTTCCCGAACAACCCTCGTATTTAAGTTTATTTATACTTGCCATCGGTTGCCCATATGGGCGAGTCCTCAAGAAGAGTGTTAGTCATTTTATATTTGGAGGATAGTGCAAGATACAGATAGATGCCCCAATTTCAGAAGCTTCTCCTAGTTCTTTCACGCGCTAAGTGTTTAAGCACTCATACACGGGACCTCGATTTAAAGTCTCATCCGAAAGACCGGTTAGAAATGTAAGTTGGCCAGCCCCGGAATTGAACCCACAATGCCATGATTTCAAACGCACATGTGAAATTTTATATATGTATAAAATTATGCTTCTAAAACAATTTTCAAACATCGAAGAATATGTAAAATATGTACTGCAAATATTTGTCCACATTTTATGTAATCATTAAAATAAATGCATTCATTTCTGCTAGACTTAATAGAAAATAAATTTCTAATTACCTCGCTTTATTAGCACAAAATGTAAATTCAGTTATAGCTTTACAAATAATGCTTTTTGGAACGAACTTACAATATTGATAAATCTTCATTTGAGCATTATATTTATGATAAAGAAACAATAAAAATTAGTGACATGATCTATAAGTATCTAAAAGATATGAAATTTAATATTTTTGATGCAGATTTTATTTGTGTAAAATTAGAGCGTAATAAAATACATGTATAACAAAACTTGCGTAGAAATTGTAAAAAAGCTTTGATCTCATATATATATATATACACATTTAATACATGCATATTGATTGTTGAATCTTTCTAATCTATTTGATTTATTCTAGCGTCTATATAAAATTATAACATTGATCTCATATATTATATACACATTTAATACATGCATATTGATTGTTGAATCTTTCTTATCTATTTGATTTATTCTAGCGTCCATATATAACATAACAGCATATCATTTCACAAAAATATTGTTCATTTAACATTGCATCAGTGAACTTATAAGTTTCCAATACAAAGAATAATTTATTGTTCTTTAGGTTATTGGTAATGTAAAATTCTAATCCTGGTCACAAAATCTAATTAGAATGTTAAATTTCATACATTAAAAAACCCAAATTATTAAATAGTATTTCTTCCTCAATGATAAACTTAATTGATAATAGAAATAAGAATAGTAATACAACAACAAAATTAACAATTGAATATTCTTATCTTGTTTACTGAAACTGAAACTGTTCTATTTAATTAAACGCCTATTTCTATATACATATTCAATGGCGTTGTACAAAAGGATAATAAAAGTATGTACATATAGATAAAAAAAAACAACAAATATGCATGGCAAATGAACTACAAAAAAATATGTTAAAGATATCAGCCGTGTAAAATATAAAGTATTAAAAATTTTAAAAAAAGAAAAAAAATTTAAAAAAAAGTTTGCCCCGATTGTTAGTAAATTGAATTTAAAACACGAAATTTAAAGTGGGTATAATAATTAAAATGTTTCGCTTAAAGGGATAATTGTATAAATAAAACAACCATCGTACCACTATGTTTACGTACAAAGTTTTACCTTACCTCAGTTAACAGTTGAAACACAAAATCAAAAGTTGCTATAATATTAAATGATGAATTAAACGATTCAATCATTTTCTAAACTTATATAAATAAATACAAACCAACATAACCAATGAAGAGATCAATATCCCACATCTAGTTTCGTTTTCTCCGTATTGTAAATAATATCATAAATAGGTGAATAGAGATTAATAATATCGTTATCGACACTGTAGACTGTCGTACTTCAATTCATATTATATATATATATATATCATTCGTCTGTATGACTTTTAACAAAACTTAGCGTTTAACAAAGAGTTTAAAAATCTTTAAATGTTTTATAGTTAATATGTTGTTAAAATCATTTACAGCATAATGAAATATGTGAATGGTTGACTGGTGGAACGTTTGATGAATGCATCGATTATATTTGTCTTTCATTGGTGCAGCCAAATGTAAACTTTTGTATTTTATTGTCACATCTGAGACTGTTTAAAATTGCGCCGTATATTCAATAAGATATATTATTTTTTCGATAATTGTATATTTTTGTATATTGTTCAGTAAGTAATTATAGTTGTGTTTGTGGTATTTTTTGTTCCTTCTATTTTCATATTTTTGTAGTTAAATTGTTCACACTTAATACTGTGTAATCATCTGAAGGATACTTTTTTTAAAAAAAATTTCTTTCGAAACTGTCTTTGAAATGCAGCGTTCGAAAAAAATCCAATTCACAGTCAAATACGTTTCATTTAGTTCCGTCATTTATTTCCTTGTTAGAAACATACGCCGCTTTTACGTGATAAGAAAATATGTCATATAAAGGGCTCATGATCACCGCCGTGCAAACACAAAAGGTCTACTGAAGCTTCAGTGTCATTCTAAATTAAAACGTTGTTAAAAAACCTGGAACATATGCGACCCCATTTAGTAAGCACTGCCAGTTGAGATTTTCAGCCACCATTTGTTCATCGGTTATTTAAAGGAGGTACAAATTTCTCTAATTCTAAGCACCACTGTTATAGTTTTCAATACAGATTTGAATTTGCTTGAGCTCTGTCTTCATGATAATCATTTCATAAAGTATGTAGAAGCAGCTGACAATCCAAAACATGACATTAAACTGTTGATTCCTCTTTATCCTTTTAAATTATCGTTTAAACAAAGATATCAATATTTAACAACTATATTTTATATTATATTTTCAGATATTATATAATTATGCATGTATTATTCATTAATATTTGTTAATTCAATTCTATAAAATATTTTACTGAATTATTGTGTTGTTGCAAAAAATGCTAACCTGAATCGGCAATTGTGGGGCTTTCCTGTCTCATCCGGCCTTTTAAAAAACTTTAACTGCTGTAATTTCATGGTGCTCTGCCATTTAAATAAAGTAACGCGTTTCGGTTCTTATCGTTATAACTACCGAATTGTCACTGTAAACGTTTGTTTGTACCCTGGGATTATTGGAGAGAAAAGCAACATTCGTCGCGTTCTGGAGTATGTCTTTTGTCAATATGTACTTTCTCGGTAGAACAGTCACTTACCCTAACATAACTAAATGTCGGATATAAATATATTACTATTACAGAGAACAAGATACATCATACATTGAAATATTTATGCTATTTCTTTAAAACAAATTGTACTAATATCAAAAAACTTTATATTTCAATCAATACATATGTTTACGTTTGAATACTACAGTCTCTTCACCGATAAAGACAGACACTTTTCTGTCGTTGTTCGAATAACCCCGACACGTTGTGGTTATAATTACAACCGTTGCTATATGAGCCGCGTCACGACAAAACCAACATAATGGGTTTGCGACCAGCATGGATCCAGACCAGCCTGCGCATCCGCGAAGTCTGATCAGGATCAATCCTTTCGCTGACAAACCGTATAACAAGTTGAGAAACTGATAGCGAACAGCATGGATCCTGATCAGACTGCGCGGAAGCGCAGGCTGGTCTGGATTCATGCTGGTCGCAAACCCATTGTTGGTTTTTTCATGGCATGGCTCATATTTTCTTTCTAGACAATAATACATATTGTTCAAATATGATCACTTGGTCAAGTCATTCGAACTTATATTACTATTTTATTCATTTTCTATTAACAATTGCATATACTATTAAAATGAAATAGAAATTGGATCTGTTAATCACAATATTTCATTCAGTTAAAATAATTTTATAAAAATTAAACTGATTAAGTGAGGTTATATTATTATAATGCTTCCAATACAAATTTTGACATTATCTAAATTAAGTTTATTTGACGTGTTTCCATACATGCATTGTGATATATGCTTTGACGAGTGAAATAAGAATAACTCTGTGGTACTTCAGTTTATATTTTCAGAATCTGTCTTAACCTCGAGACAGCGAACTCTGGGAAAAGTATTTACATATCGATGAACATTGCTTGCTGCGTAATACTCATTTTTGAAACATTTAATTTAGATTTAATGTGCTAACACTTATACATTTATTAGAGATCAACCTTATTGTCTAAGTTCTGAAAAGAAGAAATCTTTTAGAAACAATAAATATAAAACAAAACCAGTTTATTTAATTTGGTTTTATTGTGTTTGTGCACGGAATATATGTGGAAAATGCAACATCTTTCTTGCCCTGTTTTACCGTCTTAACCTTATATAGACGTGTTTTGACGGTTTTTCATTCCTTTTTTAAGACCTCAAATAGTAAAATATGCCCTATTTTTGCCCCAAACATTTGTATTCGTTTTGAGAAATAATAAAAAAGTTATCACTTTTTCGGCGCCGCCTCTATAAAAAACGTACATCAAGGGAGGGCCAGAGGAGGAATGTGCCCCTTTCTGCTTGGGGTTTGAAGGGGATCAGAAGCCTCCCTCGTCGCCAAGAAAAAAATTGACTTGTGAGAGGTAAGAAATGGTAATGTAACGTGTAACCAACGCTTACTCTATTTCAATCCGTTCAGAAGTTGCAGCTCTTTGAAATCAATTTTGATAGAAAAAATCAACGCAAAATAGTAATCTTTGGCAAGATGTTCCCCCGTTGCCATGGTAACAGGAAATTTAAGATTGAGCATGTGTTACAAAGGCTCTGGTCCAGTCAACAGTTTTGCTAAGTTTGATCAGTATTGAAGAATTTCTTATAGTTTCATAGCAATTTAACTTGGTGCGGGAGGTTTTTCAATAAAAACAGCCATTTTTCACAAAATGCTGATGCAGTAAAAGGTTTAGTGGTAACCAATTGTCAAGTCACGGACTCCGTGTCAATATCAAATATTGTCTTACATTAAATGTGTCATTATCTTAACAAAAACAAGAGCAAGCTTTTCCCCCTATTCAAGGTTTGCTCAGTTGTTGATGAAACGTTTTACTTCTGGCGTGAAACGCCAAGATTCGAAACATTCTTGCGTGCAAAGTGCACGAGAAAACAACAGACCCAATAAGGGGAATAACACACAAAACTTTCCACGAAATAAAAAACAAGTACAAAAAATATCACCAACAACAACTGCTGTAACGTTTTATTCATCAGAATTTGTTATGTAAACAATAACATAAAATTGTACATACCGAATGTTTCTTTACGTCTTAACTAAAATAGTGTTCAAAAATTATAAACTTATTTAATTCGTAAGTCCTTTTCACCTGAAACTTTTCACTGAAGAATTTGATTAACTTTTGAACAGTATAAGTATTGAGATAGAATCTAACTGTAATTAAATAAGCAATGTAAAATACCCATGCAAAACATACACATTCTATTCAAACATATCTACTGAATTCAGTAATAGTCCTATTTGATGTCTTTTTCGAGTTCACTTATCCACAAAGCTGCATCATTGTTTAAAATGTTGGTTCCATATTTGTTATATAAGTAACTCTAAGAAACAAAGAATTTGGTAATGCTGATTGTGATTTATCCATGTACTAATTATATAAATATTATACAAAAACATTTATTTAATAACAAAATGTGAAACATTACTCACAGTTACATATAATTCTGATTCATCGTATTGACTTTAAGATATACCTAGACAAAAATTGTATTAAAAGAAATACAAAGTGCAATACTTAATATGACAACATACCAAGTCAATAACTCCAAAATTATGCATACAAATAATAATGATTCTTAAAAGTTTATTTTCCCAAAGAACTATCAATCTATGAACTTTTAAGTTTACATCCCTAATACTTCTTTTTTGTGTGCTCCTAAGAAAATACAATGTGAAAAATCACAAAGGGCAATTCCTTAAAAAATATATATATTTTAGAAACATGGTTAAAACATTGCACAATTTCCTTAACGATTTAGTCATGCTGTGAAATTTAAGTTAAAAACTCTAATACTTTTGAATAACTTTCTGCATAAAAATGAGTATGAAAAAGCAAAAGGGGCAGTAAATCCAAAGTTATGCAATAAAAGAGTTTTGGCTCTTAGAAACTCAACATTGACAATGTGTGATTTATCAATATATAAAGCAAAATACCTTCTATCTTTTTCGAGTTATGCCCTATTCAAAAAATAATTATGAAGAATTACATAAGGACAAGAACTACTGTTATGAAAGTAATTGATCTTGTGCACTGCACTTTTACTCAATCAAATCGTTCTACTTAATTTGAAAATTTTAATGCATACATTTCATACTTTTATAGTTAAACTCATAGTATTATTTAATTTAGAAACATCCACAGGTGTGTTCATACGGCAGTTATCATAGAACTTTTAATGTAATCCTCAAGTAAAAGAAAGCGTATGCCATAAATAAGAAAACAATGGGAAAGATGGACAAAGCCAAATCTACATGTATATCGGGGAATAATAATAAACGATGGTAAAAATTAAGTCGTTTAAACAACTGCATGACGATTCACATGTAGGTACATGTATTAGATAATCTTTTATAAAAAAGTAAACATTAAAACACCATACCGTAAACATTGCCATTAAATCTGTCATATTTTATGCAGGATAAATGTTTGCTTTAAATAATCAATATTAATTTTTTTCTTCTAAATGTTAAAAAAAATGGAAAAAGCGTAAAGATGTAAACGTCAGAGACAAGAACATTGAGACAACATCAAAAATATGACAAATAACTACCCTTAAAGTCTTATTATACTGCAAATATAAGTAAACAAATGTAACTAGTACATTGTATTAAGTTTTGCTTCTTATACTCCTTCTCAATCATGGTCTCTGTGCATCCAGTACTACTTTGACTTTTTCTCCGGATGAATGCATTCCAACCGCAGCATATAGCTCTAAATTTTGAAATGACCGCAGTTCTTTTTCTCCAAACTGAAGAAAATATGAGCATAAATGAATTAGCTAGTAATTGCGTTTGTGATAGTTTTGACAACGTAAACATTTGGACGAGTACAAAGCCATTATTTATATAAAAGAACAACCCAACAACAACAGAATACTTATCAAATGCAGACCATGTGATTGAGAAATATGGACAGTGCACTTACTAAAATCAAGTCATTATCTTGATAATCATAAAACAAAAAAAAGTCATTATTTAACAGCAGGTCCCTACCTTTTTACCGTTCCTGGTAAAAACAGCTGTAAGAAGGGTCCCACCCATCCAATCAAATGAAGCTTGGTATGGACTCCTTAAATGTAATTCAATATTAGTATCAATATATTTTAAAGTTATCTTATACAACTATCGTTACTACAGTTAAAAAATCGTAAAAAGTGGACATTCTCAAACAGCAGTATATTCTAAAAGTGAAAATTCTAGACTTGGTATCATTGAGTCTGTTCATGGGAGACAACGGAATTTGAAAAAGTTTATCGTCTCTTATTAACAGATTCATTACTGTTATTTGATTATGTTGTAAACGATGGATACTCCCCAAGAGTAGCACAAGAGAGGGGATACTTTGACGGTTAAAGAAAAAAAAACACACCTAAAGTGACAATATGCAAGATTCAATTAACAGAGGTTTCAAAAGGCCATCATTTTCTTTTAATTTCAAACTGGATTTTCTAGGGTTTGCACCAGTGCTGAAACACGAAAGGTTTTTAATGGATTGAGACACGTAAGAAGAGCCGTATGCTTTAAAAGTGGCTACATGTAACTAAGTTGAATATAAAAATGACGTCATTTTGCCGTTCCGATAAAAGTTGTATTGATAATTTACGATGAAAAAAGTGTTCGTTCTCGTTAATTCTTTTTTTGGAACTAAAACCTGGTTATGTTGTCTTTCGACTGTCAAGCGGAAATTAAAAAGCAACTGTAAGGTTCTTTTAGGACAAATGTTTTCATATTTTAAATAAAAACAAAGCCTGGATATGAATTATTGCACTGATATTATATTACCTCGTGTCGGGATCAGATAAAAAGCAGCCAATCTTGTCACCAACGAGGCATTTTGGTCCAAACTTTGTACCCTGGCCTAATTTGTAAAAACTGAAAGATGCAACAGCAAAAACATTGCCATCATTACTATTTTTCAAACATTGATTAAAAATGCAATAGAGAAAACTGCAGAATTGCAATTGTTTCGAGTTCGGTTCGATTTAGCTTGTTTATTTTTTTTTCAGCTTCAGGTCCACAAATGTGGAATCCCATTTATTGATGAATCAAAATCATACAATCGTACAATTATGCATAAGCATACAAATACAAATAATACAGTAATGAATTAACATTATTAACATTTAAAAAAAACGTTAGAAGATAATAATGGTTTATAATTGAAATTTATAATATTTATAAACAGGTCTTTTCTTCTGAGATAATTTTACTTTCATTTATATACAGTTTATTTTATTTTTTTCATCCTGTCCTCCAAAGTCTCCCCAGCAAGATAACCTAAACGAAAAGGGTATACGAAAAAAAAAAGGTCTTCCTTTGGATAATTATTGAAGAAAGAGTAAAAAAGTATTATATGAAAGTATTATGTTATGTGTAGTTCACATATATGGTAGGTATACTTATAAACACCATGGACAAGGAATATCTCAATTAAAATAAACCACATTTTTCCTATCGAGATAGTTGATCAAAATACTGCCCACGTCACAGGATCTTTATATGTATTATTGGAGTAGCTTAAATCTGTGTATAAATGAGAAAAAAAATCTTGTAAAAAAAGAAAATGACAATAATTCCACATACATTGCTATGCTTCTAAAAAGTCGTGTCACTTAAAAAAAGATAACTATCCTAAATTAACATATGTTAACTTAGCTTGTTAGATGGTAGTGGCAAATAAGCAGTGAGTGTGTGACACTTCTGTGCAATTCCGTAAAAGTGCGTTCTGAGTTACTGTAAAGAAATGCGCGAGCACTAAATGTTAAAACAGTTGGTGGAGTAATATAAAACAGGAATTCGGAGGGAGAAGGGGTTATGGGTAAGAGATTTGAGACCTGGAAATATAATTATTAAGTAAAAACAACACAATATTTCAACAGAAAAAGGGGCGAGGGCACTGATTATATTAAACAGATACAGAGTTATTGTTTGTCAATGCAGAATAATGTGTTTCAATATGATAGAATTTATAAATTGTGAATTGTAAAGAGAAGCCAAAAGAACATGTCCTCAATTATACAGGGATAAAGACGCGTTTATACCAGATAATACAAGAAAAGCATTGATGCAAAGCATCAAAGGGCGTCCAAGCAAGAAATGCAGCCAGTGAAGATGAACTAGTAGTCATATATGATGACAAGATATTCTTATAAACTACCAAAATTGTATATCACTTATGAATGAGCGGACGAAAGACATTGTTCATTATGAACTTTGATTGGCATGCTAGAGATTAGAATATTACGTGTTATTTCTTTATGATCGTGGTTATTAATAGCAACGGATATACATGTATACAATCATTTATAATCCATATGTGTAACGCATGATCAATACGTACCACAGTTGTGTAATTGTCCCTTATTATGTTATCGCTATTAGCGAAGACCCCCTCTTAAGGTATCTGTTCACACTTAGTAAAAATATGACACTGGTTAAATTACCATGCTGATCATGTTGAGCATAATTGTTTATTATAAATAATTGTAATATCTATTAATTTTAATAAAAAAAATTACAAATTTTATGAATATTGTTTTCTTTTTTTTTATGTTTTATGTGCTATTTTAATACTGAGTTGTTATGTTTACCACTCTTTTTTTTATTAAAATTGTAAAATAAATTTTAAGAATTCAATTGTCATATTGACCGACGATTATAAGTCAAAACTTAACTGGAAAAAGTCAGTAAATTATGGTTAATCTTTCAATATATAATATTGTTTATTCTGAAAGGGACTCCACTGAGGTTTTTTGACATGACAAGACTTGAAATAATTTTTTGAGATTATTACTCCATTTGATGTAGATCTATACTAATAACTTATGTGCAAAATTTCAGTTCATTAGCTTGCTCCGTTTTTCCAGAATGATTATTATAATAGTGAAAAATGACCCAAAATTGAAAAGCGTTTAAACGCTTTTCACTCAAATCGGACTGAGAATAGCACAAACATATGATTTTCAATGTATTTCATCAAAAGTTTTGGTTATATTTTATTTATATTCATATTTTAAGTACTCATGTTTATCTATGTGAAAAATTCAAATTTCATGTTTTTAGGTTCATAAACCTCAATGGAGTTCCTTTAAACCATGTACATGTACATTTGTATTTTTCTTTATCATTTTTTAAATTATCAATCAAATGAATAATTCATAAAACCTAATTTGTAACTTTGAATAATTCCTCGGCATCTTTACTAAACACGAATAACAAATTAAATAAAATGTTTCAAAGTTGATAATGTCATGTTAATACCATAAATATGTACCTTTTTCTCAATTATTGTACATATTTATTGTTTTTATCTCATATAGATAAAATAAACATGCTATTGTTGTTTTTTTCGAATTGTAACGATATCAAACATCTACAGACCGGACAATAAACGTGTGGTACTATTCGCCGGTCGCTAGTAAATCACGGTCAAAATAGACCGGGAGAGACCGGGAATTACCGATAGGAGTGATAAATAGATATATCTATAAATAGATTTTCGGAATATTAAGGTCGTCAACTGATCATTCTAGGATACATGTTCAACAATAACCCACTGTGTACTACAAAATGAGGAAGAGCGCGATTTATTGACGGAAAAGGTTATTTCATTTGAAAATGTTTGCATAGCGAAATTCTCCAGTTCGATATTCATTGTAACATATCGCGACATTTCATTCTTAATTAATAATCAAGCACCCTCATACCGTTCGAAATGATCGGCTTTTATTATGACCGACTAAAAGGCTCGAGAAGTTGCTGTCGCCCTTTCACAAAATCTGATTTCATTCCATAAGAGGCGCCGCGCTTCGGCGCGGACGCCAATTACCTGTACCTTCATGCATTTATCATGTTAAAAAAATCATCCCTACACTGTTACAATGAGATCAAATGTCTTACTAGCCATTGTCCGCATGATATCCTATTGAGTTCTGTTCCCATCCTGGCTGCATATTTTCTGGGTAATTGCTTGGTACCAAACCTATAGCTAATATAATAAACAAAGTTAAACAAACCATTACGGTTGTTCTGGATTGTCAATTTTCAGTGAAACACCCAAAGGTTATTTCTGACAATTTATTTACATTAAAATTTTGGAAAAAAAGAATATTTGCATATGAAATTAGTAATTAAATTCGATAGTTTTACACATCAACTTCAAGATTTAAAGATTTTTTTTCGGTTTAAAGCACGAAATGGAAACAGCGTTTCTCATCTTTAGTCAATGTAAAAGCAAGCACTTATATATTTTTCTAGCTAATCTGTTACTCTTCTTTGTAATATAGGATTATGCACATAAATAAATTCTATAAATTATCTTCATATTACCACGTCAAGTGTTAATAAAAGTTAAAAAAAGAGATAAAGAAAAAGTTGCTGTATGATATTAATTGGCCAATAAATTATGGTCAAATCCTATAAAACTTATTCTCATACCAATTGTTCCACGCTGGCCTAAACTTAATATCTCAATTTCAAAATATTTTCCGATCACCATTACATTGTTGTCAACATACAGTCCAACAAATCCGTCTCCATTGTCCACATAACTGCAATTATATGCCTTCTCTATAATACTCTTATGCGACAAACAATTTTACATTGTAGATAATGCTTGATGCTACACCTCCAGTTAAAACAGAAGCAAAATATGATTTAAAGCTCTTTTATTTTGAGTTGTACGAGTATAACACATATAATGACATGCCCGTATATGCAACTCGAAAGGACAACGATTAATTTACAACTTATAATTTCAATGTTTTGTTTTTCAGAAGCTACCGAATAGCTAAGTTGTTAAAATATAATGAATTTAATGTATTTGTATCATATAAAAATGTTTGATAATTTATTTGATACCTGCTGTGTCTCAAAAACAACGATTTGAGTTTGACTTATTTCCCTAAAAGATATTTCATTTCTTTATGGAAATAAATATCTGGAAAATATTAGAATTCACTTAATTTATATGATACCTGAGATATTCCCCTTCAACTTTTATATTTCTACATATCAACTGCCTGACAAGCAACGGTTGTGGCTCAGCCTGCAAAAGAATGATATTTATCCAATACAATTAAGTTGTTGTGTAATCTATATTAAATACAAATATTTGTACTATGACATAAAAGTCACCCTTTTGCAATTGCAGGTTCATATGGGTAAATGCTTAAATATACCCGTATACCTTATCAAAACAATATTTTTGTGTGTTTTTTTTACATGCATTTAACAATAAACCTTACAGAAAAAGATTATGAACATAATATCAACATGTATTCGAGTTATTGAACGGTAAAATATATTTTTTGCTCCAGAGAAAGTAACTAAGATATGTTCTTAACTGTTGCAAAGGCGACATTAATATACTGTCGCAATGTATGCCCATCACAGACGCTTTTGAAAGAGATCTAGGCATGAAAGATATGCATATAGGAGATATTCTCTGGGCAATATCCGGTTTTATTATATAATCTATAAATAGCTTTGAAATGCCTTTCCCTGATTGGCTAACAAGCAACTTTTTGTAAAAAATAACAGGTCAATATCAGAGTATATTCACTGTTTTTTTCCTAAAAATAGATTTTCAGAGTATATTCACCGGTTATTCTTCTAAAAATAGATTTTCTGGAAATCCCTAAAAGACACGAGACTTTGACATGACGTAACGCCAAGTTTGTTGTTATTATTCTGAAAAAAATGTTGAGTTGGGTGTACATCAAAGTCAAATTAGTCTATTTTAGTTACCGTTTTTCATTTTTAAGAAAAATAGGGATTAGCATGCCAATGGAAAGGGCCAAATTATTGAAACAGTAGACAAGCTGAAAAATAATGATTTCCGTCATATGCAATGGCAGATTTGATAAGCCATATAAAAGCTATTTATAAACTATATAATAAAACAGATATGTACTTTTTAGCTGTTGAATATGATGTGATATGTACTGAAAAATTAATATTGACCTCGGCTATCGCCTCGGTCAATATTAATTTTTTCAGTACATATCACATCATATTCAACAGCTAAAAAGTCCATATTTGTATAATATTATGATCTCGTGACTTTTTTTATCTGAACTGTGACCCCTATGTGTAACCTTGACCTTAGCCGCAGGGACCTTAATTTTGCACGCTACACTTTGCCTCACAATAGTGAACATTTGTGCCAAGAATATATATGAAGTTTCATTAGAATCCCTCCACATATGTAGGTGAGATGCTCTTGACAAAATCACTATATTTTATCATCTTTAGTGACCTTGACAATAATCTCAAGTGACCTTGATCTTGCATATATTAGCCTAAATTACATGTTTCACACCAGTAGTCATGATAATGACCATTTGTGTTTCCATCCCTCAATAAATGATGATAAAATGGTCCCAATACACATTTACATATTTTTATCTGAACTTTGACCCCTATGGTTGACCTTGACCTTGGCCGCAGGGACCTAGATTTTGCACGCGACACGGCCTAACAAAAGTGAACATTTGTGCCAAGTTATTTTAAAATCCCTCTATGCATGTAGAAATTTTGCTCCGGACAAGCGTTTTTCAATGACCTCTAAGTGTGACCTTGATCTTTGATCTAGAGACCTGGTTCAGGCACGCACCACTGTTTCTCATAGTGGTTAACATTTCTATGAAGTTTCATTAAAATTCCTCCATTGGTGTTGGAGATATGCTCCGGACAAAAATCGGACGCCGTCCGCCCAGCCAACCACCCGCCCGCCAGGGGGTAAAATATAATACGACCCGTTTTTCAAACGTGCGTATACCAACTTTAAGAAAAAACAAGAAATTGTGAAAAATGCTATGCCACCGCATAAATATAACATAAGTAGATTTTTTTGTTACTATACAATTGAACTTTGCCATAATGCAGTAGTGTCTAGTGAATTTAGGGGTCAAGGTCATATTTCAGCATGTTAAATCATTAGACACATGTGCAGATGTGTCTAATGTGCAATAATTGATTAAAAAAATAAAAGAATTTTTATTGACAAAAAAATAGGTATGTGTATAACATAGCTGTATTAAACTTTGATGTGCAGAAAATACCATTTTTTCAATAAAGCATTATTAATTTCTAAAAACATAATCATGTCCTAATAATATGCTCAAATTATTTCATTTAATGTCTCACCAAAGCTCACAACTATCTTGCTAGAGTTCATGACCTGAATCATTTCATAAATATCTCTGAAAATCATGACCTTTAGACTGACTAATAAAAAAAAAAAAAAAAAACAAAAAAAAAAAACAAAAAAAAAAAACCACACACTTACTTTATAAAATATAAGTCATATTCGGTATCTTCTGTTCTTCACGGATATGATTTTTATATGTAAAAGAACGCAACAAATATAACTTATAATTTTTTTATTTATGGACCAAATTTAACGATTGTTTTGCATGTAATGTCATTTTATTATTATAAAACACCGTATCAAGAAAAGTTAATAAAAAATAATCAATTTATAAAATATAAGTCATATTCGGTATTATAGAGCGTAATTCGAAAATATCTTATAACTTTTTATTTATGGAACAAATTTAACGATATTTTGCATGTAAAATCATTTTATTATTATAAAACATCGTATCAAGAAAAAAAAAATATAATTACTTTGTCCGCGGATATGAGTCATATCCGGTTCACCTTTATATTATCGATTTCAAACTGATATTATTGAACTTATTTCATCAAATAAACATTAGAAAGTGTTTATATTGCAGAATTTAATCACATCCATAATATTTCTTTGTATTTTAAATGTTTTTCGGTATTTTTCGGTGTTTTTTGGTTTTTCGGTGTTTTCGGCAATTTCCTGCAACCCAAAACGAAAGTAGGTTGATTATTATTACAATTAATTGCATCATTTACTTATTTCTTAAACTGATAATGTGTTATTTTCTTAAATTGTACGAAATAAATACATACCATTATTTAATATATCGTAAGAAACACATATTATCACAGAATATACTTCAAACTCCTCGCAGCGGTTACTTCCCCTGATCTGTACAGTTAAAGTAGCAAAGCGTGACGTAACCGCTGTGAGGAGTTTGAATATACTTATCACCTTTTTCTGTTTAGGTCAGGGAATCGCATTGTAACATGGCCAGCGATTGGCTGAAAAAAAGTGCAGGGAAAACCGTATGAATCACTTTATACATGAGGTGATTGGATGAGAATGGGGTATTTTTAAGTATAAAAACTAATTTAAAAAGTAACACTACATTGTTTTCTGAAGAAAATGAAATATTTCATGAGTCTCTATGATAATTTTGACTTGGATATTTGCATTTATAAAAAGTGTATGTCAGTCCTGTGATCAGCAGAAAATTTCAATGAAATGGGGGGTAATCCTCTTTGAAGTCATTTTGCAAAAAATTTGGTTGGCTACCACTATATAGCAGGAACATTTTTATGTGTCAGGCATTTCATTCTGCTGGAAAAATCACCTCTTTAGCATGAAAACTCAATTTTAAGGTAGGATTAGGGACCATTTCTTATAATGTAAGTCTATGGAAATATCAATGTGTGTGTCTGACCTTTTGTATGTGAAATAAGACGAATAGTATTTCAAAATATCGTTATCGACATCGAAGATTTTTTTTTCACGTTGAAATGCATTTTATGGAAATACTTTACACAAAGATTAGTGTGTTAACCGTTAAACCCAATATCTCTGATTGACCTTTATTTAATGTTTGGATCTTCATTTCAAGTCAAAATCGAACGGTTGATGATTATACATGTACACGTGTGGTTTCTAGACTGATGACATACATTTGTCTGATGTTTATGAAATTCCACAAAACTATGTCAGTAAATTCTAGTGTTGTCCTATATGATCTTTTCTTTAGATTGCTTCTTTCTATAATTCAATGTCAAATAAACTGAAATGAAGTACCATTTAATTGTTTTATCAACTAATTCTAAATTAACCGTTAGCAAATAGTATGATTTCATTAAGTCTGTACATGGGATGCAACATTTCTCACGCCTCTTTACATCTGCAAAGGCAGGTTTTATTTCCGAGTTGAGTTTATTTTAGCCCTGTCTTTACTGGTATTATTTTTTTTATATAAAAATTGTATAACAACAAATGTTCATTACTATTTACATTTGAAATTATCTTTCCATTCAAATAAATAATTGTAAAATGATTCAATATCAGACTCTTAAGTTTGATCTTTTACAATGACTCATGGTTAAAAGGAGCGTCCGTGGCCGAATGGTTTATGTTTTTGTCTTAAACCAACTTGGATTTCACCGGAATTCTTTCTCCATCAGTAAAAATGGAAAGTCGCCTAATGACCTTTCTGTTATGACGTAAAACCAACCCCCCAAAAATTGTTAAAAAGTTTAAGCTTTAAGAATTAGTTTTAAGATAGAAAATTACTACAATTCATTTGATAACCAAAAGAGAAAACTGCTCTTAATGATATTTATATTTTGTAAGAGAAATAAAACGCATAAACAGTCAGGGCCTTTAAATTTATGTCGAAAATTATACGAAGGTTTGACGAAATGTTGCAAAAGAGAGTTATTAAATCAGTGATGGTTATAGGAATTTCTACATTTTATAAACAAATAGGGAAGCAATGATAAGAGGTAAAATTAATTAACACACAGTCGTAGAGAATATTGAAGACACCCCGTCATTTTACGGATTTCACTTAGTTTAAATATCGAATATTGTCTTATCTAAAAAGAATCATCACGTCTGAATGCTTCCCGACATTAAGCAACACTAGACAGATCTGTTTGACTTTGTTAAATTATCTGTATGTTGATTAATATGTATGTTCATTTTTTTTTAAAATCCTGCTGATCCCTTATTGTGTTTAAACTATTATAAAGTGACATTCGACATTTAAACTATTATAAAGTGACATTTGACATTAAAGAGTAAATATTGAGTGATCAGGTGAAACTGAAATTACTTAACCTTTTACAATATTTGTTTGGCCGAGGACCATCCGAAATCTGCAGTTTGACTTCCTGTAAAATTTATATGGAAGAACTGAATATAAGAAACATTTTTAAAATAACAAACTGAAATAAAGAAATACATTGCCCATTCTAAAATAAAATGTAAATGATAGTTCTCGCCATTCTAACGAAGGATGGTTCTAAAATAAAATGTTAAGGATAGTCCTTGCCATTATAAAATAAAATATAAGGATAATTCTAAAAAAATGGACAGGAAAGTTCTTGAACTTATTAGTTAAATTGCTGGGAAATTTAAGTTCTGTTTAACCATACTGCCTTCAACAAAAAAATTTACACTGGATTTAGATCTCATTACTTTTTTTATTTTTAGTGAATGTTCAGTGTTTTATATAAGAATATGCTATGATTTTACACAAGAACTTATTGAGATATAAATTTTGTTCGAAATAAAGAGACCGACGAGTTATCATACTTTGAAGTATGATTTTAATTTAATTTCTATCTTAACAAAACGACATTCTTTCCTTAGCTACAAGAAATTATCATGTCATTGGTTTGCAAGCATTGATATAATCATTTCTATATGAATCAAAAACTTACAAATAACATATGCAAGTTAATCAGTTTTTCTTCGGCCGCGTATCTTTATTCTATAAATATCCTTCGGAAAATATCGATTAATATGTTCAATTCATAAAATAAAACGAGTTGGGCAGTCTTTTTATAATTTAATTACTTTTTATATTTCATATTTTATCCTAAACAATTATAATATTAGAATTATCAATGTTTGGTCAATCACCATAAAAATAGTCAAGGTCTTTAAATATACCACTGTTTGAGCACAGCTTGACAGTGAATAAATGAGCGTCTCTTAAACGAACATATTCCATTGAAATAACAACTTATTTCATTAAAAAGTGATTGAAAATTTCTTTTGTAAAGTTAATCATTCCAATTTCAACTCTGTCTTGATTGTTAACAATCTTAAAATGGTTGTGTTTATACAGAATCGTTTTAGTTCGATTGTATAGGAAGCTTCTAGCTAATAGAAACACCCTCGAAGCAGTACTTGCATTGATGAACATATTTCTTACAATGAGAAAACTGTATTTGAGTACGCAAAAGAAGGGATTGTCTATTCCGCCAGTTAGAATGTTAATATGAATAAAATAATAATTTGAATATGATACCGGCACTATTCTGATGGTACACTTATCCTAAAAAAGGAAGATATTATATTTAGCATATTTTGCGTCCCGTCTGAATCAGGATAGAGAGTTGTTCAATTCTAAGCGTTGCTGAAAAAGGAAATAAACACATGTTGTTTCACTAAGACAATACTTCAGTAACAGAACAATCCTTTTCACAAAAGTACAGCTGTGTCCTTATCGCAGGATATCATCGTTAATTTTCGAGTTTTTCTATTTACCTACTAACCAGTCTTGTCACACACAATGGCTCCATTTTCGTACAAAAAGAACAAAGAAGGAATATATTTTCATTGAGCTAATAACTTTATGCACTCAGTGGATTTCTTTCTTGATAAACAAAAAGGAAAATACTGCTCTAAAACATACAGTGTAGAATCAACACAAAAAATGGCTAGAATACGTTACGATTATGTGTGGAAGTACGTTAAAACAACAAAATCTTAAAAGTCAAGCTTTGCATTAGAGATTTAATAGATTTTATGCCCACATAAAATAATTTATGTCATTGTTCTGTCCCTATACTCATTACTGTACAGAATATTACGGGTCAGGTTTTTAGCCGTTACGGGGCAGGTTTTAGCCAAGTACGTCTTAGCCAATCGATATCAAGACTTAAATCATGTGATGTTAATTAACCAATGATTACATTAGATCTATCACAAAGAAATAATTTTGGCGAGGAATGATTCTCGCCTTTCTGTTTACTAAAATTTATCTATTTTTGAAGTCATAAGCTTTATTTAAAGTGAACTAATTACGTATTACTATGAACAGTTATCTTATTAATCTGCTGGGAGCGAATTTTAGGGACGGTGTCCCCCGTTTCATATTCAATTTCGTGACGAAAATGACAATTCATTTCACGGCAACACGGGCAGGATATCGTAACAGGATACAATTTATTATCAAAGGAACATGTCTACATTCGTTACTAAATTTCACCTCATTTGAGACTCGGGAATTTAGACAGAACGATTGTAATCTACGATATGGATTTAATTTTCACAGACATATTTTTGTAGAAATGCAACTTTTTTGGGAGCTTTGAAAGTTTGAGACATCATCAGTCGGGAAACAGTTGTGCCGGCCTTTGGACACTGTTGGAACTAATGACATTTACAAATCAGAATTTATCCACAAAACGTTGCTCGTCATATTACAGATTTCGTAGATACCATACTATTTACGAGTCCTGAAAGTTACCATTGTTCAACAGTTCAAGTTTTGTACAGATGCCAAAACAAACATAAACGATCATACTTATGGCGAATAAATGGTTCATGGTTGACATGTCTAAACAACATTTACCTGTTTACACCAGATGGATGCCACCTGTTTACTCTGATCAGCTACGTCTCCTCAATCATGAGATAAGAACAGCTTAGCATTTCATTTGTCAGACAATTTCAAAAGATAAGTATTTTGTTTACTATGTATTTAAGTTATATTGTACTAAAGTCAGTATTTTACTGCATTGTCTGCCTGCCCTGTTATACAAACTATGAACAGATGAAGTCTAGGTTTGTTGCTTTGTCTTAACAAATTAATATAATAAGCTTTGATTATGACTCGAAGTAGATCTACTTAATGAATTTATCAGTGAGTAAATTTCTTTATATTTATAATATATAAGGTTATTCATTGCCGGGTTTGTTGTTGGTCATCAATTATTCTCCTAATGATAATGTACAAGAATGCAGTATTAATCAGACATAATTTTTCCTGGACACATAATTGAAATTCTATATTAGTCATGTTAGTTACCACTTATTTCCAATTCATTTACAGTTCACACAAACTTCTAATTAGAGTAGATAATAGTACATGTTGATTTTCTGCTAGTCTACTATACATTTGTACACACATCATCATAGCAGTATTATTTAGCAACGTGTTAAGTAACAGTCCAGATTGGAGCGATTTAGCCTTATTTCTTTTTAATTTTACATTTTTTTGTTGACTCCAACTAAATACAGTAAGTGTGATTTAGTTTATAATTTCCATACATTCATGTTTCACTGTTTTTTTTGGTTTTTTTTTGTTGTTTTTTTCAGTCATTGAATTTAAGATTCAAAATTACTGTTCTGAATTCTAATTTTGAAGTTATTCTACTATACACTTAATCAAATTTTCTTTAAATTTACACTGACCTGAACTAATTTTCACTGGCCTAGGACCAGTGTTAAATTCTATGACTGGTTTTACAACAGATTAAACACGATTACAACACAAGG